AGATCAAATTGGGGGTAGGCTTGTATTGCCCTCGGTGTACCCCCGTAAGGCTGCCCTCCTGGGGTCTGTTTCTCACTCCTTATCAAAATTGCTCTCCTTGGTGCTAATTCCTGTTCTTAATTACCCTGATAAGGGAGGCAGCTTGCTGTGGTGCAGGGGCAGGGAATTTGCTATCACAGGGACCGGAATTTAAATCTCAGCTGACAAGCATAGGATCTTTAGCAATATCTAATTATCTTTCAGCTGAACTACCGTTTCCTCTTATAAAACCTGGGGATAACAAGAGCTCCTTCATCAAGTTTTATGTAGTGCAGACAAGGATCAATAAAATATTACTTTCCTGTCCTTTGTAACTATTAAAGTCAGCATTTGTTAACTCTCAAGTAACAAGAGCTTTATCAGAAATAATGTCTCAGTCTGAAGAAGTCACTGTGTGTTGGCAAAATGTCAGATACTAGAATGTGTGTGTGTGTTGAGGACTGGGTACCTTCGGCCCAACGTGGATTGAACCATTAGTCTCTGCTCTTCATTCCTCTGAAGCTGACTTTTTTTTTTTAACATCTTTATCGGAGTATAATTGCTTTACAATGGTGTGTTAGTTTCTGCTTTATAACAAAGTGAATCAGTTATACATATACATATGTCCCCATATCTCTTCCCTCTTGCATCTCCCTCCCTCCCACCCTCCCTATCCCACCCCTCTAATGAAGCTGACTTTTTTATCTTGTCATGCCTCATGGACCCAGTAACTAGGCTCTTGGCTTTTTTCTTAAAACTGAGCACCCTCAACCTCCACACCTACAACGCCATCTGATTATCCCTATTCTTGGCTCCCCCTGGCCAGGGACTATGTCTAGATTCCTGGTGCCCATGCTCACCTGCTTGGTCAGCCTTGATTATTTGCATACAGAGCCCCCCCCTACTGAGATATGCCCAGTTCTTGAATTCCTGTCATTGATGATCTGTTCTCCTTCAACACTGACTTGAGGACAGGTTGTGACATATGGCCAGTTGTCCTTTTTTGCAAACCTCTGATGGTGTGAGACCATGTGATCAGCACAAACTTTTAGTAGGTAAACCACTATGGGCACTGCATTTGTAACCAACTGTGTTTCCAGTAGTCTTATCTGCACAGAGGACCTATTGCTGTTTTTCTGCTATAAAGACGGGTGAAAGCATTGTAATTAATTCTTAAACCACTGAGAAGAGAACTAGAATGGGAAAAAGTACCCAGGATTTCTTATAAAGTGGATTAATCCAAAGCTGACCTCTTTGTCAAGGAGATCACTTAGCACCAATTGCAAAATTTCCCAACACCCAAGCGATCGTTTGATGGAGTTCACCACACTCCAGTCAGCACTGCTCAAGCTGCTAATTATTTATTTTGGATTAAAACCTTGGTCATGAGAAGAAACTTGGAGAGGTCTCATGCAAAGCCATGCTAGGATTACAGTCAGAAAGCAACGAACAATTTCTAGGAGGTTCCTTCTTCTTTGGGAGAAGAAAAAGTATAGGATACAGTTCCTGCCATGAAGATGAAGCTTCTACGATGAAACCAGCAGGGATGAGATAAACTGAGAAAAATACTGTCATGAAATAATGATACAACAAACACATCACTCAGCTTTAACCAATATCAGGTTAATTTCAGATTCTCCTCTTTTTAAAGAAATAAAATACTACAGATACAGGTGAAGCCCTCACCCATTAAATTTCCCTCTCACCCAGAGGTAAACATGAGTCTGATTTTGGTGAGCATTATTCTCAGTCATAATTTTATACTTTTACTATGTGCATAGGCATCCAGTAGAAAACATTTAGTCTTGTTTTCTTTGTTTTAAAAATTTACATTCCATCACACTCTGTGTATTTCTTCACAACCTGCTCTTTTGACTCAACATTGTTTTTAGATTCACACGTATTGATACATATAGACCTAGCTCCTTCATTTTAAATGCTGTATATTATCCCATTTAAATACTGTAATATATATGTTTTTGTATCCATTTCTTCTGATTGACAGTTAAGCTACTTGATTTTTGTTTTTCCTTTATAACTAGTTCTGCAATGATATTCTAGAACTTATCTCAGTATTATGCTTGAGAGTTTTTCTAAGTTATACGCCTAGAAGTAACTGCAATTTCAACGTCCTATCTATGATATGGTATATTTTCCTCTTATTTAGCTTATTTTATATGTATTTCACTAAAGACTTACATTTTTCTCCACAATGGTTTTGTACTTATTTTCATAGATAAATATTTCTTGCCTCTTAGAATTCATATTGCTTTTGATGATGGATTTCTTATTATTATTATATTTCTAATTTGTTTCTGATTATTGATCTTGTATCCAGAAATCTTGTTGAATTTGTAGTAATAAATAGCATACATATATTGGGCTTTTTTCCAATGTAGATAATCATATCATCAGAAAATACTGACTGTTTCGTCTCTTCCTGCTGTATATGATTTCATTTACTTGCAGAATTGGCTACCAGTAATACAGATAGAAACAACTACAGTGATTATCTTTGTTTTATTCCTGAACTAAAGGGAATGGTTCTAATACTTCACCAGTCGGAATAGTTTTTGGTGGCATGTTTTTAGGTAAAGTAACTTCCCTTTTATTTCTGTTTTTGTTTTGTTTTGTTCTATTAATTTCTATCATGAGGATTTTATCAAAAGCTTTTTGCATCTATTAAGGTGACCATATGGCTTTTCTCCTTTAATTAATACAATAAAATCATTGAAATGTTTTCAGATTTTATGCTATCTTTTTATTACTTGGGCCAATATTATTATTTTTTATATCTTACTGGCTAAAAGTATGAACATATTTTCTGCTAGAGTCAAAGGCAAGAGCCCTCTGTGAAACTGAGACCAATTTATACAGTAATATCATATGTTCATCCATCTGACCCCTGGGTTCCTGTTCTTTTCATTCAAAATAAAGCAGGGATCCTCCGTCTACACGGTAACCATCCACATGGATGCAGTAAACCTCCTCCCACTGTTTTCATATTTACCCTTGGAGCTGTGGTCAGCCATTGTCTACACAACTAGGGAATGAGGGAATGTATGACCCTGTTCTGTTGGCTGCCTGGATCTTTTCCTTAGGGAGTCATGGCCATGCGTGACCTGTAATGTGTTGGGAATTATGTCGATGATGTTGGATCTCGGTGACATCATTCCCACAAGAATGAACCCCACCTGAGAGGACTGAGGAGACAGCATCTCTGCAGACACCCTGGGAGGCTCTCAGTTCACCCTAGAACTTAGGAGTTTTTTATATCTATAATGCCTGCTCTTGGAAGCCCTGTGCCCAGGGTCACTACTAACTCTAGTCTCTCGAGATTCTCTTTCAAAGATCCCCTCATGTTTAACCCTCTCTCTCCTGCATACAGAACACTAGGTATTTCCCACTTATTCCATCCCTGTGTTGACTTACCGGTAGGTTTAGTCCAGGGTTACTCAAACAGGTGGGTCCAGTGTCTGTGGTGTATGAAGGGTTCTCTGGCAGCTGTGATGCTGACAGAGGGTTGAGAACCACTCAGAAATACTCTAATGTTAAGAGTGGTTACATATGAATTATATGGTCTTTGCCTCTTTCTTTTATACATACATTTCTGAATTATTTCCAAGTAACTTTTCTTTTAAAGAGAAAAATAGAGCGAATTTCATAATCTAAAGGAAGATTTGAATTTGTACAACTTGTCCAGTTTTCCTAGAATAGGCCAGAGGTGCCTGACACACAAAATCCACACCATCCCTGTACTGGTCCCAGTCACTGCATCACCCGGAAGCTTGTTAGAAATGCAGCCTCTCGGGCTCCACCCCAGACCTGCAGATCAGAGTCTACATTTTAACAAGGTCCCCAAGGGATTTGTGTGCACATGAAAGTTTGAGAAGTGCTGATCTATCGAACCAAGAATATCCTGGGCTTTAAGTATCTCCTAAGATAAGAAAGTTCCCAAGATGAATATCAGTAGGCCGTCTCTCACAAGCTCCAAGAAGACTAACTTATGAACATTAAATCAAAATTTCAAGTTAAGTGTTCCTAAGTGTTCCTCTTTGAAGCCACAGCAGTAAACTGTGTTTTAGTCTCATTTGTCCAGAATGCCATATATGCCATAAATACAAGGAACCTTCTGCAATATGAACATAATTCCTTTAGCAATCATTCCAAAGGTAAATGAGGCTCTGCTTACGCTTCTCCTGCTGCATGAAGTATTTCTGTAACTCATTTAGAACATGTATCAGTATGACCTAATCCAACTTTTAATTTTGTTTCTACTCAAATATTTGGACTCAAATATGCTCCTTGTTGAAACATGCATTAATTTCTCCTTGCTCTGCTTTCCAGGGGAATGGAGAAGAGCTTATCAGGGCCCTAGAATAACAAATTATCTTTCTAAAAATCAGAACCCATAATAAACACAAGATGGTTCAGATTCAGAGGCTATTTATCAAAGCCCCTGAATGATTTTGAAACACATAATTTCCAAGCTTCTGGGGGAAGAATTTTAAATGTTCCTGCAATGTTCTCAATGTGTCAGCTTTTGACACGAAATAACTTCACTAGGGTCCTCTGGTGGGTGTCTTCATAAACACCATTTCCCATCTACTCAGAAGATGAAATACATGAAAAGGGCTTTATTGGGCGTGCTTTTCTTTATCCTCTGACAGTCAGACAATCACAGAAGGCAAAGAAGTCGAAAGAAAGCAAAAAACCTATACACTCAAAAACCAGCAGACAAATGAGGTTCCCATCCCAACAGCACCTGCTTTCCGAGCTCCTGAAGCGTGTACCTCGGACGGAGGTGATGGTTACATGCAGTGCCTGATGGCGGCCACTTGGCATGACATTTCCTACGGGCTGAGAATCAGTGCTGTTGAGCGGATTTAACTCATCTGCTGAAACGGTGGTAGCGAGGTAACTCATCTCTTAACACACGGCACACAGCTACCTGTGGCCACGTAAGAGAGCTTGGTACTTACCCCAGTTTTGAGGTCCCACTCCAGTTGGGTGAGTGTCCCCAGGAGGAGAAAAAGAATATTTGAAATGGCAACAAACCAACACTTGCCCACCGTTTGTGGTACTGAGTTAACAAAAGAGCAAGGTCAGGTCATCAGAGACATTTGCCTTTGATGTGGACAATAATCTTCCTTGAGATTTCCTATGTTGCGCACTTTAGATGATTCCTGAAAATGGGGAAAAAATCTTCAGTACATGAATCGCAGTATGTGAATGAACTGGTTTATGAGCATGACTATTACTTTTCCATAATATAAAGGGCCATATTTGAAAAGAAAATGTTGTTTTAAGCTTTCCCTTGGTGTTCAGAGTCCATTCAATATTCCCAATTTATGTCTTCAAACCAGCCGACAGCTTCTAGAAAATCCCAGGTCAGTCAACGTGCATTTCTAGAGTATGCTTTTAAGTAGGAGAGCTGCTAAGGTTTAAAAAGAAAAAAACGTGACAGACATCTACAAGTTGTTTCTTCTGGAACCGGATCTTAGGATCAAGGCTGTCTGTGTGGGAGCTCTGAACCGACCTTGAGCCTTTCTTTCTAGCAGAACCAGTGCTGCTGCCCAAGGGTGGGCAGAGAAACTTCCCCGTAGGATTTTTAGTGGGGTCACAAGCTACCGGGCCAGGATGTCAAAGCCCTGAATACTCTTTGTATAACTTTGCACAGAGGTGCTGTTCAGAAAGCCTGCAATCAAGTGGATACTTTTTGCCCTATTAGCACAAATTAGTTCTATTGATCGGTTTATCGGATAGCACCAAGCACAGAGCTGGTTTCCAAAAGGATAACACCTACATGGTGGCTGGGTGATTTAATTACAGAGATCACATAAGGGATACACAAAGGTACCATAGGCAAGGCAGTGGAACTGGACAGGACAGAGCAGGTGCCACGCAGAGGGTGATAGAGCACATGGATCTTAATATCTACTGGCTCTTCAGTTACGTCCTTAGCTGGCAACTTATTAGCTCTGTAGCCTTACGCTCACTTCTTAACCTCTCTGAGCCTCTATTTCCTCATTCACTAAATGAGTGATAATGTTAGTCCCCATCTCCAGAAGCTGAGTGAGCACTAAAGAGTTAACCGCTCCCATCTATGTAAATGGCACAAGCCAGCACCTCGGAGTCTTTCTGGACATTCCCCCTCCCCTCTCCTCACATCCACCAACTCATCAAGTCCTGCGCATTTTCCTTTTTTGAGATCTCCCCATTCCACTCATACCTCCCCATTTCTTCTCCTGCCACACCTCACAGGCTACTTGTACCTTGCTGGTAAGTTGCCGGGGTCGTCTCTTCATTGGTCTCCCAAATTGTGGCTGATCTACTCCAACCATTCAGAACTCTGGAACTAGAGCAATCTGCTCAAATGCAGTCAGACTCTTCCCCCTCTACCCCTTGGCTGTAGCTTCAACTTGGCCGTGGCTTCCACTGCATTTACCCTTCATGTGTCCTTCACAGTCTCCAAGCTTCCTCTCTACCACTCAGCACACACCCACCTTGTTCACTATTTTCCAGCCACACCTGGTCTGCTCTCAGTTTCTCCAATTTTCCATGTTCTATCTTCCCTCAGGGGCTGTGCATGTGCTATTGTCTCTACTTGAAGTGTTCTGATCCTACTTCTCTCCTCGTTTTCTCCTGCTCATTCTCCAAGCCTCAGCTTACCTGTCCTTTTCCTGTGCACCTTCCTCTAAACCCCCAGGCTAATTCATCGGATCTCCAGGAAGTGCAGTTCATCCATCAGAACCCTCACCCGAGCGCAGACATGTATTTATATCACTGTTCAGCTCATGCCTGTTCCCACACTAGTCCACCCTCCCGTAAGGGTAGCGGCAGTGCTTGTTTTGCACACGACGTTATTCACAGACTCTATCACAGCTCCTGGCTGTGGGGAGTATTTGATGAATTTGGCTGAATAGTTGAATAACTAAATAACCGATCAGTGGATAGAGCTGAGTACAACGCCTGGCACATTGGAAGAAACCTTCTCTGCCTGTGACGGATTATTATTATGGTTGTTGGTTGGGGTGAAAAAAAAAGATGGTGAACAGAGACAGAAGATGGGAACTTCAGTTCAGCCCGCACATTGTAGCAGAGCTGCCAGAGCCCCGCCCTTATCCTCGGGGTCCTCATCTCTACACGCAAGACTCTCTGCCTGAGCAGTTTCTTGTTTGTATGTTTTGTTTCTGGCTGCAGGAACCTTTTCTACAATCATTGAGGAAAAGCCAGAGGTGCCGGAGAGCTAACACCCCTGGAAGCAGCCTTCAGCAACCGATGACCAGAGGTTTGCAGGGCGGTGCTGCAGCGTCCTCTGCCCTAGGTTGGTAACACTCATGTTCCACACTGCTTCTCGGCCTTCCCCAGTGGGGCTAAGCTCTCCTTGCCCACCTCGTTGAACACTCCATCCTTTTTGCTTCCTCCCCTTCCCTATAGCACTTCCTTACTTCCCTACTGGTGCTTCCTGGGATCATCCCACAAGTGAACCACTTGCACTTGACTTTGTCTGGACTCATACTCTGAGGAGGCCGTATGATGCCCACAGTTTCACGGTGAGGAAGACAAACTTGAAATCCATCGTGACTGGGTTAACAATATCTACACTTACTCTTAGCACGTTTCACCTTGTAGGGCACGACTGAGGTCCTGGAAGAGGCCCTGTAATCCTTGTTTGGGCTTCAGACCCAGATCTGAGGGGCAACATGTGCCTTCTGAAGATGCTCTTGCAAGAGGAGCTACAGAGTCTGGCTCCAATTCCCCAAATGCCAGGTGCAGCCCCCCGACAAAGCTGAAACCCTGGTTTTGAGCGGTGTAGAGTCAGTGACAACAGACTATAAAATCTAGGAAGATAGAAGGGAGTTTGCAGAACTGTCCAGCTCAGTTCCAATCTATCTCAAAGTTCCTTACCTTCATTCCACTCCCAACACATCATGTGAAAAACAGGCATTTACCGTGATTTGGTGATTCTCAGGTGAATGACTTGTCGGCATGCACACAGACCCTGGTGGAAAGAAAGGGTGGAGCCTGTTGGTTATTGGGGAGAGGATGGGACATGGACACTTGACAAACTCTGTACCCCTTTCTGTTGCCTTTCTGCTGACAACACATTTTCATTACCATCCTGTCCCACAGGGCCGCCTGGGTTTATGATCTTTGCTGTGGCTTAGCTCAAAGAGAAACCCTCAGCGAAAGCTTCCCTGGCCACTGAGGCTGAATAAATCACTGCCTCCTCTTGGTCCCCATAGCAATACATAAGCTACTGTGCAAGATTCTGCTAGCATCCATCCCCCACTGCATTAGAATGAAGTGGGCACACCTCTCTCGCCCCTTCAGGTCTTTCATATTCACCCCTATCTTCTTTTTTCCTTTTTGAGGTGAAATTCACCTAACATCAAACTAACCGTGTTAAAGCGAGCATTTCAGTCGCATGTGGTTCATTCACAATGCTGTGTCATCAGCTAGTTCCAAAGCATTTTCATCACCCCCAAAGAAAGCCCCATACCCACTAGGCAGTTACTCCCAACTTGCTTTCTGTCTCTCTGTATTCTTAGCACTAAGCATGTAGTTAGCATTTGATACATTCTTTTTGGGGGAATGAATGATAATTTACTGTGATAAGAGGCAAGGGGTGGAGCTGCAGCATCTTCAAATCCAAGCACAAGTGGTTGAAAGGATCACTCTGGATCCAGACTGCCTGAATTTGGATGCCAGGTTTACATCTGCATAACTCAGCAAGATAGCTAAACTTTTGTGCCTCCGTTTCCTTGTCTATAAGATGAGAACAAAAACAGAATCTACCTTGAGGAGATGTTATGTCAATTGAATGAATCAGTATGTATAAAACACTCAGAACAGTAGCTGGCATGTAGAAAACCAGATTAGTGTGTGTTAAATAACAAGTGACACCCTACACTATTGCTGTTGGAGTAATAGCCTCTGAGCTCATCTTCCAAGAAAGAGTTAGAACAGAAATCTACACCTAGAAAACTGCCATGCTGACATGCGACAGCTCTCCATGAAAAGGATGTTCATGCTGCGTTTGCTCTTAAGTAACTGTCCATCCTCTTATCCCACTCCTGCCACCCTGACCACTCCACCCCACCGCCCTCCCCCACCCCAACACCCAGACTACTGCCCTAGTCTCAGTTGTGTGTATTAACGCGACCAGCATGCAAGTTCCAGGAGGGTAGAGACCATGTCTGTTTTGTGCATCTCTGTTTTACCTACACCTAGCACATAATCAACACTCAGTGATTGACTGTTGAATAAATAAATTAATTAATGTATACAATGACCTATCCTTCTAACCATAAAATTTCAGAATATATTACCATCTCTGCCTCCTCAGCTGCTCCCTATGCTTCAAAAAGGAACTTGTCAGAGCATAAAAGCTCGTGTAAGGTGTACTCCTCCCTCAGCTTCCTGTCTGTACCTGTTCACACCTCCTCTTTCCACCTCTGTCCTTGGTGGGGGAGGGAGGAGAGTGACAGGGGATAAGGGTTACTGATCCCTCGTGTCCCTTTGCCTCTGGGCTGGTCCCCACACAACTTTATGTTCTAGCTGGGCCTCAGCCTTGATGTAAAACTCTCCAGTTCCATATAAATAATGGTTGTAATTAATAATAAATGAACAGCCTGGGGGATTGCAGAGCAGAATTTAGTGGCTGGAGATGTACACATCTGTATTTGGTGCCAATAGGAGTCATGGATATGGAAAAAAGACGGTGGAGCTACCATCTCAGATCCAGGACACTGCTAAGAGGCACCAGGCAACTGGCAGCTCTCAGCCTTGTAGAAAATCGCAGTTGTAATCACAGTTTCCTGGGTGTAAAGGAGAGGAAGGTATTTTTATCTTTTTGGTCTTTCTCCCTCCAAATCAGGGTTATATCCCCCCAAAGTCCAAGCAATTTATTTGGGGAAAGGCAGAAATCTGAACGTGAAAGCAAGGCTGGGGAAAGGATTTGGGTACATGGAAGGAAAATGAAATAAGAGCGCTGTGTATTTTTACAAGA